GACGACGCCCATGTGTGATTGTCTAATGATTACATCGATTATAGTGGGAAGGCTTCCCTCACAAGAAATCTCTGTGGACTGCTAGTGTATAGGAAGATCAGCGGCAATTATGCTTCCTTGAATATATAGGGTCATTGTTGATAGGGCCTGAACTTCAGGTTAGGTCATTGTGGGCAGATAACCAGCATAGCTATTTTTTTGAGACGTTCTATCTCATGACTATGACATCTGAAATGGCGACACCTGTTTACTACTTACGAAGAGTTTGGTAAGATATGTTTGTTTGCATTTTGTATATAGTAGGGGGGCATCGACAATGTACGACCGTGAGCCGAGGAACGTACGAGCGTACACCGCCGTTCCAAGCAATGCATTAGGTCATCCTTTCAATCATGTTACGTAATGTCCTCGAGTTTGTCCCGCGAGCCTTCGTGTTTTTCCACGTTATATTAGGGAACAGGAACACCCTGCGGTGACCATTGCTATCCCCAAGTGTCATTGGTCGGCAATCAAGCTTTTATTAAGAGGAGAATCTTTTGTATGTTACGTAACAAGATTATGAGTATATTTAATTTTTGATACGTTTCTTAAGCGGCGAGCAAACTTGAAAAGTATATGTTTAGTGCTTTATCTGTAAAATAATGCTAAAATGAAGAAATTTTAGATGGCACGCCAAAGAGAAAATAATGCGTGAAGTTCAGTAAAGGCCCTGTAACACTATTGCATATCGTACTAGCGTATGCCAGCGTATGAAAAAGATCACTCATACGCCGGTATACGCTGACATACGCTAGGGGTACGTTAGGCATAGGTTGTATACGTTTCAAGCACGGTCGCATACGGCGAGGCCCGGCGAGACAGAAACATTTTTTTAAGCATGCTTAAAAATTTTGTGCGTATTCGGACGTATGATTTATACGATAAGCACTCTAGGCACACGCTGAATTCGCTAGAGGTACGCCAGATGTACGGTACTCATACGCTGGCATTTCAAGAAATTTTTGTAATTTTGTGCGTATGAAAATTATTTCATTAATTTTCATACGCTTCTCATTTCCACCAAAACCAAACACTAATTTCAAGAAAAAATCATTTAGTTACAGGGGTGCGGTGCTTGGAATAGTTTACCTTGTGATTTTAAAAGATCTCAAACCATCCAATGTTTCAAAAATAAGCTTTAATTGCAACAAAAGTAATAATTATTTTTATATACGGCCTATTGGAAGATCACTCATTTTGTTTTCTCAATTCTCTATGTATATATTTAGTTAGTTTTATATTGTGAAATAGCTCCGTATTGAAATAAAGTTGTAATAAAAATAATAATTGTAATACGTTTCTCTCATACGCAATAGTGTAACAGGTCCTTAAGTTTTGCTTATATTGCTGTATAAATATGGCGTCAATTTTACAGCATCCGAATAATAATTATATTTAAATTAACAATATTTAACTATTATTTTGAGTTCCTTAAACTAGAAATCGCAAGTGTAGACGGGTCTTAATTATAATACGCATAAAAAACAACGCCGCGGTCAAACCTAAAGCGCATGCGCGAGTATATGGAAATGCCGGGAAAAATGTCTGCCAAAATAATAGAGCAGTAAATACGGGAAAAGAAAAGCGCTTACTATAAGGAGACGGCTGAAAGTAGAAACTCAGAAATTTCATCGTATCTTCCGTGTGACAAAATGAAGTTATACTGAAGTTATACTGAATTTACAGCCTCGTAATTTTCTATACTTTTTCGCCAGAGCTTCGTCAGCACACTACTATTTCCAGTCTTTCGGTGGTGCAGTGAGCGCCATATATATCAAACCAAAATGGCGGAATTCAGTGATGTCCAATAGCTATGAAGATCGTAAACAGTTTTTATACAATTTTTCCCAGCTCTTTCCAGTGACGGACCATAACGCTAATCAAGTTTTCAGTTCATAAAATCATAATATTAGTTTTTAAATCGAAGTCAAAATACGAAATTTCGCTACATTCCTGGCAGCTTCGTGTCCGACCGCGCAGACAAAAACAATAGAAAGGGACTGGGTCGACGTCCAATAGCTCTTCCATTTCCGGTCTCTTTGGCTTCACGTTTTGGACGCCCCAGATTTATATAGACCTCACTGCCGAGGTGTTGCCATCTTCGTCCCCAGGGCCTCTCGGCCGTGCGCGACCTTCCTTTGAAGACACGGAATCGGAAGTGCAAGAAAACTTGCAGTAGTTTCTAAAGCGCATGCCCTTGAATTGGGACGCTTTAGCACCAGTGACAATTTTAACAGACAAGTATTGACGAAGAAACGAAGTATTTGTGTTGACGTATTTTGATAGAATAATTTTGCTCAGCGAAAACTACTCAACTTCTGGGATATCGCAGTTCTCTGAGAAGCCAATCAGATCTCTCCCTTTGGTCGTCTGATCCAGAGCCTAATTTTCAACGAGTGACCGAGTGAAAATGGCTCTGGGGACGAGAATGTGGTGTTGCTGAAGAGATCTTATACGACCTCGTTACCAGGCTCCGCTACGCTTCTAGCCAGACTAGTCCCTAGTCCTCTGTGCACGCCTGTTATTTTCCCGTGACGTCACTAAGGCGTACTAAGAGGCCTAGGGACTAGGTTGGCTTCTACATATAACTGGAGCAAGGCCCTTATAAAGGCCCGTTTACACTTGCAATTTTTGTGGCGATTTCTAGCGCGATTTTCTCCTTCTGATGGATGAGAACGAGTAGATGAATTATGAATGATCTTGGTGTATGTAACCTCATCTGAACATTCATAACTCATCCACTCGTTCACATCCATCAGGAGAAGACCTAAAATCGGCAAATCGCAGCAAAAATTGGAGGGTCTTTGTTTCTATTGAAGGAGTTCTATCGAACTAGATCACCAATTTAATTTAAACCTCCGCAATGTCCTTTTCATCTAGTCTTCCTCAGGATACAATATTCTTCATTTGCATTAAACGTTGACCGAATCAAGATCTCTACGCATCCTGTGTCCGTGCGCGTGCCAGAATGAGTCTATTTTCAGCCAGTTTTGTTCCACACGAGCGAATTATATGTTTGCAGCGATTCAATATCACGTCAACAAGACTCAACTTAAACTTCCGGTGACGATAACAACGTATTTATTACAGATAATGTTTCCTATGTTTTGTTTGATTTCTATTCAAATCACACCCTAGGATGTCGTGTTATATTTTTGATAACCACGTCATTATAAATATGTGCATGCACACACATCACGCGATAAATTGAGAATCTCCCGACTGGAAAGGGTCTTCACTTGGAATCCATAAGTGTTTTGACAAATATTGCATATTAAGAAGTTGTTTTGATGTGAGGGATATATTGATTACTCCTTGCTGAACATATATATACACGATGAAATCGTTACATCATGGGCTTTCTATAAAATTTTGCTACTAACCAACTAATTTGATAGTTATTATATCTTTATTATATTTAATGTATCAATTAAAATAGCTTAACCGTCCGAAGGAATATATATAATTGATCAAAAAATATTTTGACTCTTCTATATAGAGAACGAACAAATTATCTCGAACAGGTTTCTTTCTAGCCTTGCAAAGGTTGCAAAAATTGTTGAACAAACAAACAAGTATAGAAGACAACGAGACTCCCATTTTGTCGAGAAAAAATTTCTTAACCAAGCTTGTCCACATACCGTGCATGGGGGTGTTCTTGGCACGGTGATACGTGCAACTGTCTTTTTGTCCATTGTGTCTAAACTGTGTTCTTCCTAGAGATCCAGTAAGAGCCATCCCTTCTTAATCCAGTATTAATGCAGGAGGAAACCTAAACTAGTTTTATTTCTACTGAACAGATCTATCAGTTCTAAACTGTTCTTTCTAGAGGTCCAGTAAGGATCATCTCTTATTGATCCAGTGTTACTACAGGAGGAAACCTAAACTAACTTTATTTCTACTGAATAAGATTTATCAGTTCTAAACTGTGTTCTTCCTAGAGATCCAGTAAGGGGCATCCTTTTTTAGTTCAGTGTTACTGCAGAAGGAAACCTAAACTAGTTTTATTTCTACGGAATAGATTTATCAGTTCTAAACTGTTCTTTCTAGAGGTCCAATAAATGCCATTCCCTATTGATCCAGTGTTACTGCAGGAGGAAACCTAAACTAACTTTATTTCGCCTAAATAGATTTATCAGTTCTAAACTGTTCTTCCTAGTGATCCAATAAATGCCATTCCCTATTGATCCAGTGTTACTGCAGGAAGAAACCTAAACTAACTTTATTTCGACTGAATAGATTTATCAGTTCTAAACTGTTCTTCCTAGCGATCCAAAAAGGGCCATTCCTTATCAATCCAGTCTCACTGGTCTGACCAGGAGAAAAACTTGTATAGTGTTTGGTATACACTCGTCTCTCTTGAGACTGCAAAGGTGGAATTCGAATCAAACAACAGGAGTCTCGTGGAAGAGTCGAAGAAGCACTAATTACCACGTCACTAACACTCCAAAGAAATATACATAACAATGTTTTACATGTTTGAACGTCATTTGGCAGGGAACATGCAATCCATGTCAATCCTAATTCCCTAAATTCCAGACGAATACCAGTAAACCACAACGCCATGCATGCATGGTCACATTATTCATTGTTCAACACAACAACATATCTTAAGGCTGCAGTTCCTTGATTTAAGTAGGTGACAATATCAAGCCTTTTCAAAGACTGGTTTACACTATCGCAATATATTTCTGATCATTCTACCTACACTGGACCACCACGTTTGAGATAACTTCTTCAAGTAGTTCAGACACAAACCACGGCAGCTTATTGTACAATACTACCGATACTGGACCACCACGTTTGGTATATCTTCTTCAGGTAGTTCAAACACAAACCACGACAGCATATTCTACACAACACTACGTACACTAGCTGGATGCCACACTTATAGGCGATAGCATCATAGATTTGTATTGTACAACAAAATAGCATGTAAAGCAACAAAAATACCACATTGAATATCAAATTTATCTTTAATGGAAATTTATGATACGTATATTTATGTACAAGGTAAAATAATTATTTAAATAACAAATTTATGAAAGTAAAAACCTTGCTAAAGTGATATCTTTAACGTATGTATTCAATAACGGTGAATGGAATTTATAACAAAGTGTTATAAAACAAACCACCATAAAATTTAAGCAAGTCAAAAGCTCACTTAATTCGCTTCAGATGAAAAATTCATTTTGAAGCTAAATATTAAATATTATTAAATTCTTATGCAATTGAACAATTTTCTTAGACTAGTGTTCTAAACAAATATATTGTAACTAAACTTTAGATGCCTATTTTTCAATCTAACAAGTAACGACTCCTATCACTGACATTGAACTATGTAGTAAAAATATTTATGTATAACAATCAGACACGGCTAACTGCATGGATGTAGGCCAATATCTCTGATACTGTATGTCTATATACACTTAAAATAAACAGCTTCTATAGACATCAACTTCAGAAGTACGCCATATTAATTTCGATATGAATTGACAACCTATTACAATACCATTTTACATCGCGCGCCATGTTTAATGCAACAATGATTCGCTAACAGTTTAATTTGCGAAATTTGAAAGAGTTTTTGTTCAGTTGTTAAACATGTTTATATAACAATTTCAACAGCCTACTGTGCTACACTGTATTGATATAGCCCAGAATTCGGAATAAAATATTAAAATAGGAATGGTATTATGTGATAGAAGAAGCGAAAAGCAAGTGTACATTTGGAGTTAGTTAATTCGTCAGTGTATGCATTTTGCTCAAGACAGCCTCTCTAAAAATTAGCGTTCTCTGGCTCAAGTGTTGTTTATACATTACAACACCAAAGTCTTTATTCAAATACAAGCGCAATGTGTCAATTACATAACACTGCTTTTCTCATTCCCAAACATATCTCTCAAGATTTGATTAACTCCCGTCAACAAATTAGTCGACTGGTCTTCGCTCGGAGTCAAATGAGGCGGTCGTGCCAGTTGAGGCGAACATTTCATGAACGAGTTCCCAATTGCCAACGGCAGATCGCTGGGGTAATTTTGAATCGTAGTTGGAGGTTGGAAACCGTGCATTTCGTGGAATGGAGGTGGATTTGGCAGTTGTGATTTGGGTATACGGTAGGACGAAGGTGAGAAAAGACTCGCTGTCGTGGGAGCTCGTTGCAGTGGTGGCGGTGGGGTGATGTATCTGGACGTGAAAGGTGTTAGATTATTGCTCGTGGCGGGATGTGGAGCAGGGTTAATTTCGTACACTGTATTTGCACTCATCTTAGGGATTATTGGACTTGGGCAACTCCTAGGAGTACCAGAGTATGGCGGAGGAGGGGAAATACCATTGGATTGTGGACTCACACCATTTTGTTGTACGATACCACCTCGAACCGAGATACTGTTATGAATCGTTTGTGCCCAGTGGCTCTGTGATTCGTGGTGGTGTTTGGCGCTCACACCTGAGCTTAGGGCCTTTAAAACATCACCTGTGCTGATTTTACTATCCTCGAACGATTCCCTATTCGGTGAATGCACTCTCTTCTTCTCGCGACGTTTCGGTTGAAACTTATAATCGGGATGCTCGATTTTATGTTTCTGCCGTAATCTTTCGGCTTCGTCTATAAACGGTTGTTTCTCCACTTGATCCAAGGATTTCCAAATGCGTCCCAACGTCTTACTCAACTTTGCATAGCTTAGATCGGGATAAAGGTTTGAAAGTTTCTTCCTGGCTGCTTGTGCATAGAGCATAAACGGATTCATGGGTCTTTTCACGGCATTTTTTGCTTTGGAGTGTTTGGCAGCGTTTGCCTGGAGCGGGAAGGATAGAGCACGCCAGTCTGAACTTTCTAAAACTTGAGTCACTGCTTTCGCGATCGCCAAACTAAGTTCGCTTTGGTCGTCTTGCTTCGCAGAGTCACCCCTTTCGAATTGTTGTGGTTCTTGTTTTATTCCTTTTTGAAAGTCAACCGCTTTGCTACCCATTGCTTTCAATAAAGAGTTTTCAATCTTCGAGTATAATAATTCCTTTGTGAAGCTCGCTCTAAGAAAACTTTGTGTCGGAATAAAAGTATACAATTAAGAGACAAGGCATAATATACACCACTGAGAGGGTATAGCGTGGCCAACTAGCATATCAGAATGTTCGTGACTCTGACCAGGAAGTACAAATTGGAGAACGCAAAATTTGGTTGGTCGACAATGAACTTGATAAGGGCTCTGCGGCCAATAGTCGCCACGAAAATCATTATACCATGTGACGTAACGGAATGACACCACGCACAAGGAAAAGCCACACACAACTCTATACCACGCAATTCAAGTTGACAAAACTTTTAACAAAAGTATAGGAAAACATGCAATATACATGTGTAACCATACATCCTTAAACTTTCTATCGTAAGTTTCTTGTTTAACTTACAAAATGATACAAAACTGAAATGCATGTCGTGCAATACATAAACACTAATTATTAGTAGCTATTCAAAACTTTTAGACCATAACGGAATAATGTTTTGAATAGATGTAAATTGCTGATAATAAACAATGGTTATATACGTACAAGCCAATACCCAACCGATTAAAATGCCACGTTTGTTATATTAATAGTGAATCAAGCATAACAAATAACCAAAAATATAATAAAGTTGGCAGCCGTCTTAAAATAAATATATTCTATAAGACTATATGCTATAATTTATCATATAATGTGCATATATCATGTATGTGTATATACTAATATATTGTCAAACTTTCGTCCCTTTTAGGATAGATTTTTTTGACCAGCTGTCTTAGCTATTGATTTGGCATGATAAAGAATTAAATTGAATAGCTTATTGAATTTAACTTATACTCAGTTACAGCATATATATTCGTCCGTCCGAGGTATGTTTCCTACTTAATCTCCTATACCAGTCATTGACACTGTATATTTGCTCAGTCATTAACAGTAGTCATTACGTAAGGCAGAGACAAAGTAGGTCAAAAACTTAAAATCGTTACGCTATAACTACTGTTGCTAAAAATGTGATTAAATTGATTTACACAAACTTGATACATAATAAAAATGTTCTATAAAGTTTTAAGTAAACAAACGATAGATTAAGTACAGGCACTTAAATATTAAATAGTACAGAAACAAAGATGTTTTGTTGTTTTGAATGTGTTGCCCAAGGAATTAAGGAAATTGAATGCTAGCAAGCTAGGGCATGTAATGTTATTTGACAGATAGCGTTGAAGCTCATGAGATAAGGAAGGAACTTTGTCTTCATTTACAAATTAGACAGGTTAGTAATAGTAGATTTTATTTACCATCTTTGGCAGAGAATTATAGTGGTATTACAGATCGATTAAAAAAGAATTAAAAAGTTACAACAAATTTAGACTTTGATTTTATAAACTTATACTATATATATATATATATATATATATATAGCTATAATTCTGTTTATGACTACTTAGGCTAACTAAAATAAGAATTATTGCCTACATATTCAAGTAAGACTATTTTGCTTAGTGATATATCGGCAACGTTTCTTTCTGCACGAATGTATAATGCGTATACAGTTATTTCAATCAAGGCTGTCACAGTGAAATGAATGATTTAACTAGAACGCTACCTCCAACCGGAAATTTAAAGCCAAGCTTGAAGGCCAGTCCCAGTCTTGTCACGCGTGCGATGAGCGCGGTCAATCCCACCCTCGTCCCCAGGGCCTCTCGGCCGCGCGCGACCTCCCTAGGCCCTGGGCCTGGCCCTGGGACACACGGAACCGGGGGTGCAAGAAAACTTGAAGTAATTTCTAAAGCGCATGCTCTTGAATTGGGACGCTCTAGCGAAGTATTTTTTCATAGTGAGTATTACGAAGAAACGAAGTATTCGTGTTGAGATATGTTGGTAGAATAATTATTCATAAATTAGCCAGCCATATTGCTTTATTTTGCTCACGTGATAATACTGGATACCTGGTGAAGTATATTGATCCTGTCCTAGGACTGCATCCAAATGAATTCAGTCCTTAGACGGGATCAAAATAAATTCACCTCACTATTAGTGGTGATTTATTCGTATGAGATGTTATTTCAAATCCTCCAATTCGGATTGGACTAGATCTCAAGCCCTCGCATTTTGACCCAGTCCTCGGCTTCGCCTCGGTCTTGATAATATTGCGCGGACTTGAAATCTAGTGCAGACCTCATAGTCATTTGAAATATTACGTCTCAGATTGTACGTTACGATTACAATTTGGAATTTAAATTGGGATTGCAAAAACATAGATATTGACTGGAAATGTTAGTTGAGGATTCATTAATTACAACACCAATATAGCTGCAACACTTTGCGTGACTTCCGCAGGCTTTCCTAGTCATATCGAAGGCATACAATGCATGCAACGTTTATTACACTCGGTAATTAGAGAGACTTGACAGGAAGAGGGAGGGGCTGCCAGACTAGAAGCTATATTGGGGAGATTAGTTTCCGGCTCTTGCAAATATTTGAATTATTACAACAGACAGCTGATATTTTAGGGTTTGATTCCTGTCAGAGGATCTATAGTTGCATTTTTCACAACTGATCTAAAATTGTATATAATCTTCCTTTAGAAATTTGTTGGTTCTATCAAGCGAGATGCCAGCTCTCGATATTTATGAGATTTTAGACCATTTGTATCAGCTTGAACTGTCTTGGCCAGTGTAGGTAATGTCAATGAAATGAACAAGCTTTCGTTGGTAAGGATGCAACTACCTGAAAATATATAAGGAGAATTTCGACGTTTCGAGCAGCCCTAACCCTAACTCCAGACGAAGATCCCTACCAACGAAAGCTTGTTCATATGTATCAGCGTATGTTTCATATGTAAAACGCTGCTTATAAAACTTACATTTTTTCTTTTCCCTTTTTTCAGCAGAGATGCATGACCTTAACATCTAAAGGCAGAACAGAAAAAATAATTTAAAACGAGAAGTAAATTGATACGTTATTTGTAAATCATTAGGTTAATCAGATCCCATAGTATACCAAATATATACCATGCATTATCCATATACATCCACATTCCACACCTAATCTTCCTAGCTCTACCTTACCCTACTCTAACCTTACCTACACCACCATATCCTATCCTATCATCCTAATCTTACCTACCCCACCAGAATCTTTATCATATCCTGTCATCCTATATCCTATCATTGCTGTATCCTTTTGGATCCATAAATACCCTCTTCCTATTTATCTTATATCTTATATTCCGTTCTATCCTAATCTACCCATCACTACCCTTTAATATCCTTTCTTCACTCACTCTATCCCATTCTACCCTATTATGTCTCATCGTTTCCAATCCAGACGTATCTTGCTTATCTAATTCAAAGCAATTTCTACCCTATCCATAACCTTACAGCATCGTAATATTTCTTAAACTGACCTAGAAGTGGTATCACTAAGTACTATCGTGTAAGTGGTTAACCAGTAATTATCAGAATAAAAAAATGTTAATTGTCTTCATTATTACATTGTTACTAAATTTTACTTTAGCCTTTAGACTCTGTAGCTCAGTGGTCAGAGCTCTTCTCCAAAATCATAGGTCCCTCCAAAATTATGGGGTGAGTGAGGTTGTGCTGGTCAACCCTACTTGCAGCTTGGAGTTAAGCTGAGATGCGAAGACCACAGCTCAAACTGATTGAGCCAAAGGCTTTCTAAGGGCGCCTTTGGCAGCCACCTTGTGACTCATGTCTCTGATCACGGAGCACAGCTACGGTGGTAGGGTCAGCTTGGGGCTTATCCCAACCCACCCTGTCAACATTTCCTGTGGGAGGAAAGCTACTCTGTAGTGAAAGGCGCTAGCTTGGACGATTGCGCGCCACTAAAGGAGTTGCAAGTTGGTTCCTGCTAGAGTTCTAAGCTTAGTTGCATGTTTTCCTAAAAACGGATCCTGGTTATAACTTTTCGTTTTGCTTTCACAAGCTGTTAAAGCTCGGGAAAAATTCCTGAATCTCACACGGGAGTTGAACCATTGCTAGCCTGGCTCAGTTGAGCCACCGAGGGTCTCCTAAAGGTTTTTATAAGGCATATTTTGCAATGGGAATACAGGAACAAAGCCAAAAAAATTCATAGGGGGAGGAACATGGTGAAATATTTTTTTGAGACCAAGGGAAAACTTTCAATTCAACATGGGAACACAAGCCCCTCTTTAACCTGAAAATCTGTCAAAAGTCTAATGATCTATTGACGTCCTAATTCGTTTACTAAATTCATGAAAAATACAATTAACTAAAAACCTTTCTAAGCGCAAAAACAATCGAAGCTACTACTTAGAAGTTGTTGAAATAGACACTTTTATGTATGATGAAATGTGTGAGACTGTCTTTGAAGTTTAACAAAATGTGAAAAGCACAGGACAAACGTACTTGTAGATTTCCCTTGGTACTTGACAAAGTAAATTTGAGTGATTTAATAAAGCTTTTCTAAAATTTTTACAGACATGAAAGAAATATTTTACATTCAAGTAAAGCACAAAGTTGTATATAGAAAAGTAGGACATAGTAAAACATGTTTCAGTCTGGTCTGGTCTGGTCTGGTATATGATATGGTATGACACTGTGAGATAAGGTATAGATAGTATGGTATGGTATGGTATGGTATGGTATGGTATGGTATGGTATGCCTACGGTACGCAGGATTAAGATGGATGAGAAATTAAGAACTAAACTAGTCCACAATACATGTCGACCTAAGACAACTCAACAACTCTCACCATAAATCAATCAATGTCACTCAAGGCTAAGTGTTGTGCAACAGTGCATGGTAAAATCGGAAACCTCATCTAAGTGATTTGAAGAGATGTGCCAAAAAATGGCACAAAATGAATGTCGAGTTAAAAATAACATTAAAAACTCAAATGAAAGAATGTTGTTGTATTACACAGATCGTATACAAGGTGTTAGGGATGTTGTGTATTTGAGATCAATTTCAAAGATATTAAACTGCTTAGTGTGATGTTGGTAGCACAAACTGGTGCACGGGTTTTCACCTCTGTCACCGAGGTTTGATTCCAGCAATAAGCAGCTAGTTAGGATCTCGTACATGAGGACTTGGATACTTCTATCAGTTCTAAACTGTTCTCCCTAGAGGTCTAGTAAGGATCATCTCTTAATGATCCAGTGTTACTACAGGAGGAAACCTAAACTGAACTAACTTTATTCATACTGGATAGCTCTATCAGTTCTCAACTGCTCTTCCGGTAAGGGTCATCTCTTATTGATCCAGTGTTACTACAGGAGGAAACCTAAACTAAACTAACTTTATTTATACTGGATAGCTCTATCAGTTCTAAAACGTTCTCCCTAGAGGTCCAGTAATGATCATCTCTTATTGATCCAATGATACTACAGGAGGAAACCTATAAACTAAACTAACTTTATTTATACTGGATATATCTATCAGTTCTAAACTGTTCTCCCTCAAGGTCCAGTGAGGATAATCTATTATTGATCCAGTGTTATTGCAGGAGGAAACCTGAACTAAACTTTATTTATACTGGACAGCTCTATCAGTTCTAACAGTTTCCCCTTAGGTCCAGTAAGGATCATCTCTTCTTGATCCAGTGTTACTACAGGAGAAACCTAACCTAAACTAACCATATTTATACTGGATAGCTCTATCAGTTCTAGACTGTTAACCCTAGAGGTTCAGTGACGGGTATCCTTAATTGGTCCCGTGTAACGACAAGAGGAAACATGAACTAAATTTTATTTATACTGGATAGCTCTATCAGTTCTAAACAGTTCTTCCTAGAGGTCAAGTAAGGATCATCTCCTATTGATCCAGTGTTACTATCCAGGAGGAAACTGGATTACCTGGAAAATCCTGTGGTGTTTGGTAGAGTCAAACTGGTAGCCCTCTTCTTACATGCGACTGAGGTGAATCTATAATCAGACAAAATTCATATTGCAGGAATCGAACGCTGGTTACCGAAGCGAAACGCAAAACACCCGTCATTTTACTGCATGTTTCAAAAGAATTTATTTTGGTTCATACATTCTTTAAAACTGACGGATTAACGCACTGACAGTGTTTAACATATTCTTAATATCCTGTTTAGTAAACAAGCATTGTCAGATCAACAAATAACGAACAAACTAAATAAATACTCGTGGAGTTTCTTGTACGTATATCGTGTGTTCACTTAACATGTTTAGAAAGGTCTGGACGTCTTAACACTACCGCCAGAGGAAGGAACTTAACCAAAGCAAAACAAAGATGGCGTGTGACAACAGGAAGGATATTGTGCGTCCTAAGATCGATCCATTTCAATGACAGAACGTTTAAACAGCAATAGTTTAAGGCTGTGTTGACACACTGCAATTTTTAGGCGGACTCTAGGTTTTGCTGCATGTTAAAGACGCATATGCTGGTTATGTCGCCAGCTGACGTATGCGCTGTATTTTTCAAATATCATTCAAGTATATACAACTACTATTGTACTGTGTACTATTATTGCATACGTACCTTGATAACTACAAATTCCTTAATACTCGATATCCCAAATGCAAGCTCATATTGGTTTATGTGTTTAACAAACAAAGTAATGCTAAAATAAAATGAAACAAAGTTTGATGAATGGTTTTAGGGATGCATAGAAGAGACAAAGCTATGGACTATAGGCGTAGGTTTAGTAAAGCCTGGTTTACACTATCAAAGTTTCTGTGATCACAGTAGGAATTTAGCATAGGTAAATTCTAAGTTTTGAAGGATTTGTAAGAAATGTCTGAGGGAACTGACTCAGTGTTTAAAACCAAGAAAGTTCCAGAATTTACCTATGCAGAATTCCTACTTTGATCACAGAAACTTTGGTAGTGTAGACCACACTTAATGATGGCCCTTTCTGGACCTGGAGAACATTTAGAAATAATAAAGCCATCCAAGTTACTTTAGTTTAGGTTTCCTCCTCATACAGGAGCAATAAGAGATATAGACCTCACTGGATCTCAAGGGGGAACGGTTTAAAACTGATAGAGCTATACAATATAATAAATTTAGTTAGGTTTAGGTTTCCTCCTGTAGTGGATCAATAGAGATGCCCTTACAGAACCTCTAGGGAGAAAAGTTTAAGTTATCCAGTATAAGCAAGAATATGTTGACGTATCCTTGCCATTCTGAACGGAAGGATATCGAATTGAACATTTACATAAACAAAAAGGATCATGGGTAAAGCTCATTAATATTAGGTTTAAAAATAACACAAAAAACTTCTTGTCAAAAATATTTTGTTAAATAATATAGCGATGATACAGAATAATTGGCCTATAATATATGTATTCTCATGCATATTTAAATTACTAAGTGTAAAGGTAGGAGTAAGTATAGCACTCGAGAAACAAAGTCATTACCTCATAAGATGTGTTAATATTACAGTAAAATAAAGTAAATGCATGTCTATGAATGAACCATCAACAATTAGAAATTTATTTTGGAGCGTTCAATAACTTGCTTCCTTTCAGATGAGTTATTTATGCAACTGCAGTTGAAACATTGCGACTATCCAGTAGGGAATAGCGAATGTCAACACTGGACCATTGGGGGTTCCAAATTACTGTTAGTTAAGTTCCGCGCGAGACGCGAGTCTATCAGACATGACAGGTTTTCTTCGAGTAAGTGGGATTGTGCTAATCATGCTTACTTGCAGCTGAGAGCTAAGCTGAATTGCGAATGACGCAAGAGTCGAAGGCTTTCTAAGGGCACCTATGGCTCTGGCAGCCACCTTATGACTCATGTCTGATCACGGAGAGCACAGCTACAGTGGAAGGTCATTTAAGGGTAATTCCAACCCACCCTGTCAACTTTCCCTGTGGGAGGAAACCGCAGTACCCGGAGAAAACCCACGACTTTCGGTAGAGCGTGGACCGATTCTTTTCACGTAAGTGTCTTGAGTCAGGAACGCGAATCGAACCCACGATCTGAAAGGCGCTTGTTCTGACGACCGCGCCACCCAAGTCTCGCTGTAGTAACATTGGAAGAATAATGAATGGTCGTTACTGAACCTCAAGAGAAAACGGTTTGGCAGTGAGAACTCATGAGATCCACTACATAACGTTACTTTAGTTAGAGTTTCTTCCTGTAAAAGGGATAGTCCTAAGGAGAGAACTGTTTCGATAATGCAGCGAGCCAAGCTCCGAAACCAGGGACGTAGCGACCAGGGATTTTTTTTTGGGGGGGGGGGTTGTAACCTCCAACTGTGAAACTGAAAAATTCAAGTTTAAATTTTGACATATTCAGGTAAAATTTGCGTAATAAAGTCGTTACTTTTGTGAAATGATAAACACTTTTGTAAAATACTGTCAATTCAGATCCAATTCGTTTGCGCATTTGCTTTAGAAAACGCCAGAAATGCAGTCCTGGAGCTTCAAAAATGTAAAAATTTTCTGGGGGCCCCCTTTTCTCCGGAAACTTAGTATGACACTGGAAATCAATCAGAAAAAGCTCTATTATAATTATTACACTTCAGGTAAATTTTTAACATTGAAGTTCAAATTTCAGGTAAAATCCTTCGACACACACATGGCAGGCACGTTCGTGCAAGTCCGTTGAGGAAAGTTGAATCAAGAGGACTTGAACTAACACGGAATTATTCAGTTCATCCTTTAGAACTTGGCACAATTAGTCATATTCAAATTCTGTATATTAAAAGCTTCATCTTAATCAGCAGTTTCTTGTACGTATGAAATTAATATTCTACTCTACTTAATTAATGAATAAGGACATCCGAGAACAGGAAAA